CGCGGGACGCCGCGAGCCACCGCCGGACGGACGGACGGACGGGCGGGCGGGAGACAATCAGTGTTTTGACTTCGCCCTCGCAGCGGCGGACACCACGGGACACCACGGGACACCGCGGGACACCGCGGGACACCGCGAGCCGTCGCCGGACGGGCGGGCGGGGGAACATCATTTGTTTCGAATTCGCCCTAGCAACGGCGGGTTCATTTCCCTCGCGCGCCCACGCAGCTTCGCCTCGCCCGCACGCACGACACGAACCAAAAGAATCGTTTTCCCGGTTGGGGATCTCCGTTCCACTGTGATCTCACGCCCCAACCCCCGACACATACACATAGTTATACGACCACCGTTCGGGTGATACGGAGGTTGTGGGGGGGGAGAGGGGGGGAACCAACATCTGACCCAATCGATCTCACTATCTGTTTTACCCAACGGGACACCACGGGACACCACGGGACACTCGTCGATCTCACTATCGATCTCGCTATCGATCTCATTCAACGGGACACCACAGGACACCACGGGCCACCACGGGAGACCACGGGACACCGCGGGACTGTTCTCGATCTCGCTATCGGTCTCAGTATCGATCTCACTATCGACCTCATTCAACGGGACACTATAGGACACCACGGGGCACCATGGGACACCTCGGGACGCTTGTTGATCTCACTATCGATATCATTATCGATCTCACTATCGATATCACTCAACGGGACACCACGGGACACCACGGGACACTTGTCGATCTCACGATCGATTTCACTATCGATCTCACTTTTTGGGACACCACGGGACACCTCGGGGCTCCACGTCGATCTCAGTAATTATCGATCTCACCATTGATCCCACTATCGATTTCACTCAACGGGAGATCACGGGACACCACGGGACACCTGTCGATCTCACGATCGTTCTCACTATCGATCTCACTTTTGGGGACATCACGGAAGACCACTGGACACTTCGGGGCACCACATCGGTCTCAGTATCGATCTCACGATCGATATCACTGGACACCACGGGACACCGCGGGACACCGCCAACCACCGCCGGACGGACTGCGGACGGGCGGGCTGGGGATATATGATCATTTAACTTGACTTCGCCCTCGCAGCGGCGGACACCACGGGCCACCGCGGGACATCGCGGGACACCGCGGGACACCGCGAGCCACCGCTGGACGGGCCGGCGGGGGATAATCATTTGTTTCGACTTCGCCCTAGCAACGGCGGGTTCATTTCTCTCGCGCGCCCACGCAGCTTCGCCTCGCCCGCACGCACGACACGAACGAAACGAACCGATTTCCCAGTTGGGGGGTCTCCGTTCCACTGCGATTTTACCCCTCCAAGTTCCGATGCACATGCACATACGCATGCACACGTATATACACACATTATGCGCGAGGTGCAGGGCCGCCGCGCGCGCGGCAGCCCTGGCTTTTTTTTGTGCAGAGAGTATTATCTGCGCGAGAGGCACGGGTGCCGCTCGCGCGGCGTCCCTCGGCCATTCTATGCGGGAACACATACATGGCGTTCGGGGCAGTGCCGTCGCGCGCGCGCGGCGGTTTGGAGCCACCCCGTGCGGGAAAGAAATCACAGTCTGCGCGACGGGATTGGCCGTCGCGCGCGCGCGCGGCGGCCTCGGGCGGCCCTGCCCCGGGGGCGCAGCATGGGCGCGCGAGGGGGGCGTGGCCCGCGGTGCTCTGGGCAGGGGGCGTGGTCTGGTTCTCCGCGCGGGGTCTGGCAGGAGGCGTGGTGAGGGGGCCACATGCGAACCCTACCCCTGCCCCCCACGATTTCTGAGGCGGTGGGTGGGGTTCACTTCGCTCGGGAGCTCCCGAATGAAGGGAACCCCACCCTGCCCCTCAGAAATCGTGGGGGGTAGGGGTAGGGTTCGCATGTGGCCCCCTAGTGGTGTGGGTTCCCGCGCAGGGGAAGCCGCATGGCGCGGTTGCCCATGCAGGGGCAACGCCGCCGCGCGCGCGGCGGCCCAGGCCATTCCTCGCCTCGTGGGAAAAAAACTCGCGCGCGAGGGGCCAGGCCGCCGCGCGCGCGGCAGCCTGGCCAAGTCTGCGTGGGAAACTTCGCCATCAGCGAGGGGCGCGGTCGTCGCGCCAGCGGCGGACCTCCTGGGGCCGCCCCCCCCGAACCAGCGTAAGGGGATCGGGAAACGCGACCCCGACGCACCCCCAGAAAGGTTCAGTTTGCGACTGCGTTTTCCTTGGGGCGAACTCGAAGCAGAAAGTCCAGAGCGGCTTGGCGCCCTCCATGACACTGGCCCCAGGGAAGCGATTTTTCCGAGCTCGAAAAATCGAGTCCGGCAGAGGCCGTTTGAGGGGAGTCTTGGCTGGGGGGGGTTCGGAGGGGCCCGAAAAATAATTTTTCGGAACGCGAAAAATCGATTTCGTGTCCGAGGTGGTTCTGATGACGTCATTTGGACCGCAGGTGTTGTGGGTTGCGTTTGGGGCGCCCCAAACTGGTATCGGAACCTCTGCTTCGGTTCCGCCGGTTCGGTTCCGCCGGTTCGGTTCGACCGGTTCGGTTCGCCTGGTTGGCCAGTTCGGTTCGGCCGGTTCGGTTCGGCCGGGTCGGTTCGGCGGGTTCGGTTCGTACCTCGGACCGGTTCGGTTCGGCCGGCTCGGTTTGGCAAGCCGTTTCGGTTCGGCCGGTTCGGTTCCAGGCCTGGTTCTCGGTTCTCGGTTCGGTTCGCGGCCGTCATGCTTCAGCATGATTCTCCCCGTGAACATGATTCTCCCTTTTGGCTAGGCGGTCGCAGGGGCGATGGTTTTGGTTTAACGGTGTTGCCACACGTTTGATTGCGAGTTAAGATCACCCCTACTTGTCCCGATCCGATCCGATCGTCCTCGTGCTCTTTCATGTCCCTCTTCCGTTATCATCATTCCCCGCTCCTGCTTCCTCCCTCCCTCGTTTTTTTTCCTCGCCCTGTCCCTCCCCTTTCCCTTCCTCCTTCCCTCCCGTCCTTGATGGGTGGTGGAGCTAGGGCAGGGCAAACAGGAATGAAGGGAATGGGATGGGATGGGATGGCAGGAAGGCGAATGAGCTGAAGGTTAAGGGCAAGAAGGAAAGGGCGGATCTTCAGGGTTGGGGTCCTTTCATGTCGGGGGTTGGGGAAATGCCATGCTCCCGTGGTTATAAAACAGTCAGCCTTGCGCGGCCCCAACGTCTACTAGCTTTGACTCTACATGTACGTGGCGCGAATCATTTGTAGCTGTTCCATTCGGATTGTTGATCGTTTCGGTGCGACGACTGCCGTGGCAAATAAAGGCCATATTTCTGGACATGTATTTGAGGTATGGATGTATGAGTCAGTACTTGGCGCGAGCGAGGTCTGCATTTCATGCCGAAGTCACAGCTCTGGCGAGTGCAATTCGTTGAGAGTCAGAGATTGTTGTAACATTTGATGATGCACCGACGGCTTGTCTAGGAAGCTTCAGTTCGACACGCAGGCGACGCGAAGGTGAAAGTGACATCGGAAGTGGTGTGTTGATACTCGCGACGCCTGGATACCAGCGAGCGCGCGAGCAAGAAAGCACACACAGAAGGAAGGAACCACACAATCAACTAAATAAGCAATTTAACAAGCACGCAGGACTGTAGGCAAGCAGTACAGCGAGTATGGGCGCAAGAAGGGGTTCCAGTGCGCAAGCGTTGAATTAGTCGCACACGCAAGCAAACGTAGATGGTATCAATCAAGCAAGGGAACAAAAGAGCGGGCAAGCAAGCAGCGCATGCGCTACCCCCATATGTGAACCGGCATGTGCGACTGGAAACATCGGGACGCACTTGGGTATTGCATTCATATCGGAAGAGAGAACTTCTGAGGATGCCTATCGAGCCAAAGGGAGCATGCTTCTCTTCGATGAAACCATAGAGGTGCAACGCACTGCAATACTATGAAACGCATTGGATTGTCATGCTGAACTGTACAGCGAAGCCGTGTAAATGATAACGTCGCCTGTCATACCATTGCGTAAAAGCAATGTGCAACATTGACACACAGCACTGCACAGAGCAAAAATGCATTGCACTGTGTAGCCTCGCATTGAACTCACGGCAATTCTTAGCACACCATCTCACAACACATCATGGCGTTGCATTTCCGACCAGTGCGCTTCACAACATTACAGCATGCCCAAACGTGATACAACTTAGCAGCACTAATCATTGCACATCGCAGCATGACGTAGCGTATCATAGCATTGCGTAGCAAAGACTTTGCGCCATGAGCCAGCACACAAGCCATAAGTAAGTATTTTGGCGCAGGGGCCAGCAGCAAGCGCGTGTCTTCACGAAACATGCAATCAGCCCGACTGCAAGCCTTCATAAGGTTTCGGAACGCTAGCTGGGAGGGGGTGGGGACGGGGATTGGGATGGAAGGGGGAGGGCGTGATCCCCTCCCCAAAAGGCCTCTCATCAATCATTTTTGACGACCTGTGCCTGGGCGACACGGTTTCTGTGTTGGGTAACGGAAGAGGGAACACATATCATCCAGGTTTCGGGTTCTTACATGTCCCATGCTCTCTGCCCAATGCGAGGGGTCCTAGGGTTCTATGCCCCCCTCTCTCCCCAGTGGGGTGGAAGCCGGCCTAAAGCGCATCAAGGCACGATGGCATAATCCATCCAAGCATCAATGTCCTGTCAATTTTGCATCCCGCCATCGAGGCGCAGTCCATGAATCCAACACGACAGTTGAGGCCAACGCATCAATACATTCATACTACTTCTTTTGTTTCCTGCGCTCGTCTCGTGACGCCATCCCCCCTATCCTTCCCCTCTGGACCACCCCCACCTCCAAACCAAACCCCAAGGGGGGGGGGTCACGTGTGCCAACTCGAGCCTCTCATCGCCTTCGTCCTCCTTCCCGCGAGCCAGAGACCACATGCCCGTGAGGAGAGGGGCGCGCCAGCATCAGACACAGGGATACGCATTAACTATTATTCATGGTCTATAAGGATGGAGAGGGGGCGCTCTCTCCAGGAATGCCACTGGCATGCTCTCCAAGATGATACCCTGCCTCGTTTTCCACGAGCTGCCGCGGGACAGCCGTGGAGAATTTTGATGGGGAGGGCGGCACATCATAGAAGAGAGGAGTTTCCGGTCATCGCGGCAGAGGGGAAGCACGGCAAACCCCTCGAAGGACGAGTTCCTAAACCATTTCCGAATCCTCGCTCCAGGCGCCGGGCGGTTTCTGTGACACGTGGGAGGGATGGTTTGATAAATTTCGGCCAGGGAAGCTCAGCAGATTGACCGGAGAGCGCAGGCAACAAGGACAGGTGCAGTGAGGAATAACGGGAGGAGGAGGAGGAGGAGGAGGAGGAGGAGAAGAAGGAGATGGAGGTAGAGGAGGTTGAGGAGGAGCGTCAGCAGCAGCAGCAGCTTCATGTTGTTCCCATACCTCAGACGTTTGATTTTGCTTTAGTGTTACCGTTGTTGTTTATGTTTGTTAGTTTTGTTTGTTGATAATGTATTTTAGTGTTAGTTTTGGTTTATTTGTTTTCCTGTGTGTTTTAATGCGTTTGAATTCACACTTCTAAAAAATAATCGTTGTTGACCCCCCCTTCCGGGGCACCTTTTTATTCCTCTCGCTTCGCGGGGTGCACGTCCGGAGCACGTACGGTCACGTCGTCGCGGAGCCTCTTGGGAGCCCTTCGGAGCTTCCTTAGGCCTCTTGGGGACTTCTTTTGGGCCTCTCCCCCCTCCCTCCTTTTCATACTCCCTCGCCATATTTCCTTCCAGCGCCGGCTCTAATCATGGGCGCCGCTGTGACCAACTTCCACCTGGCTGGCGCTGCGCCGCAGTTCGCCCAGGTTGGAAAAATGACATTGCACTTCAGTCGCTGTGTGGCCTTTGGGGGGCTTCTTTGGAGCCTTTGGGAGGCTTGTTGAGGACATCTTGGAGGCCTCTTAGGGGCTTTTTGGGGCCCCTTGGGGGCCTCTTGGGGCCTCTTGGGGGCGTCTTTGGCCGTATTTGGGCGCCTTTGCGCCGTTTCGCCCCTTCGGAGGCCGTCTCGGGGGCCTCTCGCGGCCGCCTTGGGGCCGTCTTGGGGCCTCTTGGACCGTTTTGGGGGCCTCTTTGGGCCGTCTTGGGGCTCTGTTGGGCCGTCTTGGGGCCCTCTTGGGGGCTTCCTGGGTTGTTCTGGAGCGATTTGGGAAGCTGCTTGGGCCGCAAAGGCGAGAGCGCTAAAATATTACCAAACCAGAGGAAATCAATGATTTTGGCTTCTTGAGGCGCAGTTGTGCGCGCTCTTGGGGCCCTCTTGGGCCGTCATTGGGGCTTTTGGGGCCCTCTAGGGGCCGTCTTGGACCGTCTCGGGGCCGTCTTGGCCCGCACAGAGCCCATCTTGAGCCGTCTTGGCGCCCTCTTGGCCCCCCAAGAGGCCCAAGAAGTCGAAATCATAGATTTTCTATAGGTGTTGGTAAGTTTTTGAGCCCCGGGAGGGGGGGGCCACTTTGGTCCGTTCCTGTGGCGCAGCTCCCAGGGGGGGGTTAGGGGGGGACACACAATAATGTAACACAATCCAGTATGTGGGAATTATGCAAACATTGGACACATTGGATCCACTGCATCACAGCATCCGCGGAAAACGCTGCCGCTCAGCACGTCACTTTCGGACGTGGATTCATAGGCTTACGCCGCACCGCCGACCCTTTGGGGCGGCAGCAAGAGTGAAAGACATAATTCGCGGAACGCGCGCGATCGCTGGGCAATCGTGGGGCTTCTGCCTGTCCTACGTAGCGTGTGGGGTTCAAGGGGGGGGCCTTGTAGGGGATTGTTTTGAAGTTTTTCGTGGTCTTATGTAAGTTTATTGGGGCCATCACGGGGCCTGTCCCAGGCATCCTTTTCCATCTCCTGGATCGGCTCGGGGATCGTTGAGACCCGGCTGGGGTTGCGTCTGGCCAGAAGTTCGACAGTGGACCCAGCTGTTTCGACGAGGAGCTTCCTGAAGGCCCACAGGGGGTGGAGAGCGCCCAAAAACTACGAGTCTCATGCCTCGAGCCTCGATCCACCCCGTGTTCGTTGCTTTGCCTGGGCTTGTAAACATATAGGAAGAGGAATTTATATATGTATATGTATATATATATATATATATATATATAGTGGCCGTGGTACTTGGGGCGTGTTGTTAGCTCCTTGGGGGCCTCTTAGGGGCCGCTTGGGGGCCTCTGGGGTCTCCTGGAGCTCGCTCACGAAATCCAGCGAATCGTAGGACATTGCCGTTTCGCCGGGGATATTATCGAAACATTGAGATGTTGAAACCGTGCGGTTAAGACGGTTTTCATAAAACATGAGGTTCTTGCTCGAGACATCTTCGGACAAAAGGGCATTCGCAGCATCCCAGCTCGAGGTCATGTTTCTTCCGTCTCTTCCGTCGTTGGGGTCTCTTCCGTTTCTGAAGTTTCCGTCTCTTCTGTCTCTTAGGTCTCCTCCGTTTTTGAAGTTTCTTCCGTCTCTCCTCCGTCCCTTCCGTCTCCTCTCTCATCCTCTTCTTTCCCCCTGTCTTCCCCCGCCTCCTCATAGCCCTTGCGGCTGCAAGGGCGCTCCGCCCCAGGTGTGCGACGCGCGCGGGGACCAGGGGGGGGGGGGGCTCGCAACCATTGCGCGGCGGAACTCGCAAGGGCGTGCCGCGCGGAACCAGGAAGCAATGACTACTTCTTCGGCCAGCTCATGGCATGGAGGGCCCCATACGACGCGTCAAGGGCGCCATGGAGGGGAACGATTCGGACGGGGGCGCACAGCCGTGCACGCGGCGACGTGGTCGCAGTCGTCAGCGCGGTGGTACAAGTGGCGCTGGAGGCTGTGGCGCGCGCGGCCATTATTGCCAAGGCGCGTCCTGCGGTGCCGCGGCCGTCGGGGGCGCCGAGCAGCAGCATGCTCGCGATCCAGGACGGCGGCGTGGAGGGCACCACCAGGGTCGAGCTACCGACGGCGCCGCCGCCTGGCTGGCTGGTGGACGCCGCCCAGGGAAGTGGCGCTGACAGCAAGACCGACAGAGCCGCCGACGCACTGGCCGGGGGGCCGTCCAGCGACGTTGGGGCCACGCGTGGACAAGGGCAACGTCGTGAGCAAGAAGGAGACACATGACAAGAAGGATAAGCAGGATAAGAAAAACAACAGGCGGGATGAGAGGCGCCGCCGCAGGCGCAGCTGGTCGCGCTCGGCCTCTCGCCCGGAACTGGTGGATTGAATTTTGTCAAGCACATCGGTCGCCGCGCGGCGGCGTGGCGCGACTTAGCCGCGCAGGATGAAGACGACGACGATGTTGCCTCACTGAGCTCAGTGAATAAGGAGGTCGATTCGGAGAACGTGGTGAAGGTGCTCGGGGCCATACCTCCTTCTCCAGTGCTGGCTGGAGCGCGAGGCGCGGGGGGCATGACTAGGTCGGAGGACATCTTTGCGCGGGGCGCAGGGGTGCGCACAAAGGAGGAGCAGGTGAAACAACAAAGGAGATTGGCCAGCGATGAGATCATTGGGGCGTACTTCGAGAAAGGGATCTTCAGCTCGGACTTCAAGGGCGCCGAGGGGGTTGCGACGCGTCCCTCCAGTTTCGCTGACAACGGCGAGATTGAGAGGGCTGCTCGCGGCGAAGGGGGGCAGCAGATCACCGACGTCGCTTCGGACGGCCAGGGCGCGTTCGAGGGTGGCGGCAAGGAGAGCGCTGGGAAGCTGACCGTGGGGAGGTTCCGGAGCTTGGTCTTCGGCGCCGACCATGAGGGCGTAGGCCTCCCGCCTGGCGTCTCGGCGGACTATTTCCGCGAGTGGGTCGCGCGCGTCTTCGGCCAGGGCGGGGGCGCCCAGGTTGCGGATCATGGAGGGGCCCAACAAGGTGGAGTTCGCGACTCGGTCGGGTCGGGGGCGCTTTAGGCCTGAGTAGGCCTCGGGGGGGTAGCGACCGCGCCTGGGCCTCCCCCCCTTCGGTTTTGGTGTGCTTGGGCCATGGTGGGCTCTCGCCGCCCCGCGGGCTCCTCCGGCGACGTTGCGACCCCCCCTTGGGGTCGGGGCGGCGCCGCCGGCCGCGCGCCGAGCGCGGCGGGGAAGACTTGCCGCGGCGTTGTCAGATCTCTCAGATTCCTCCCCCTTCTCCTCCAGCTCCTCCTCCTCCTCCTCCTCCTCCTCCTCCCTCTCCTCCTCCCCCTCCTCCTCCTCCTTCTCCTCCTCCCCGTCCTCCTTCTTCTTCTCTTCCTCCTCCTCCTCCTCCTCCTCGTTCTCTCCCCCCTTCGTCGCGCGCGCGCGCCGTGCGCCGCGCCCGCCCGTCGCCCCCGCGACGCGCCTCGCGCGCGCCCCGCGCGCCCCCCCGCCCGTCGCCCCCGTCGTGCATCTCGCGCGCGCGCCGCGCGCCCCGCCCGCCCGTCGCCCCCAGGGCGCGTCCCTCGCGCGCGCCGTTCCCGCGACGCAATCCTGCGCGCGCGCAGCGCTCGCGCAGGCAAGCGCGCGGCGCGCGCCCATCCGCGCGCGCTGGCGCCAGAGGAACCAGAGCAACCGCAGACAACCATTGAGCTCGGAGAAGCAGCCGCCAATCCTGCCCCCCCGCGCGCGACGCGAGTTCTGGAGAACTCTCTGTGGGATGGCGCCCCCCCCCCCCCCCCCGCCCGCGCCCCCCCCCCCCCCCCTCCGCCCTTCCGCGCGACCCGTCAATCGTTTGCGCGGGTGGGCGGGGGGGGGGGGGGGGGGGATGCTCGCGCGGGGGCGGCAGCGACGGCGGCGGCGGCGGCAGGAGGGGCGCGGGGGGAAAAGAGGCAGATGACGTCGAAGAGGAGACGGAAGAGGAGAGAGGAGGACGAGGAGGAGGAGGGGCGGGGAGGAGGAGGAGGAGGAGAGGGGGAGGGGAGGAGGGGGGGAGGGGAGGAGGAGGAGGAGGAGGAGGAGGAGGAGGAGGGAGGAGGAAGGAGGGGAGGAGGAGGAGGAGGAGGAGGAGGAGGAGGAGGAGGAGGAGGAGGAGAGGAGGAGGAGGGGGGGGGGGTGGAACGGAGGAGGAGAAGAATGGGGAGGAGGCAGGGCCAGCGCGGCAGACCGGCGCGGCAGACCAGCGCCGGCCAGCGC